ACAAAACGGTGTGTTTTACAGGTCAAAATGAAAAATGACTAAGCTCACGTGAGAAGGATGCCAATCATATCAATACCATTCACACTATTTCTCTCAGTGACGAGGGAAAAACAAAAACGTTATGGTGCCAAGCGAGTACTATTTTGATCCAAAGAAAAAAAACCTATTTTTAAACCCCTACACGTTTCTCGTGTGTCCAGATTCAAATCTTTTAAGAAAGCAAATTTTGCCCTTTTTATTATCCCAACGGATGGTATTATATACATGTTGAAGAAGTCGCTTCTGTTGTTCCAAACGATGGTAACACCGAGGCCCCATATTAACGGAAGGTAAAAGTCACATTACTCAGCAAGCTCGAGCTAATGGATAAAGCATCGAAAAGGCCGAGGAGTGTTCGGTTAGCAAACTCAGAAAATCTGGACTTTATTTCTGGTATATATATTTTCGTTCAAACGGCCTCTATTTCTGGTAGTAGGTCGATGAAAGCACTTTAGCTTAGGGTGGCCAGCGTGAAGATAGTGAGGGATATACGTCGGGCCGTTGATTCACCGAGCAGGTCTTCTTTAGTCTCGAGGTTCTGGATGAGTACAAGACAATCTTCAGCGGCAGATCTCAATTCAAACGATGCTGACCCGTATGTGTGGACGATTATGCTTGAAGTATGACGCAATGGTATAGGGATGCTGACAAGACCTCATAAATTTTTTAGCTGAAGCCTAAGCGCACTTTAATCCCTTTAGCCCCGCGTCCTGTATTCTACAGGATATTCAAAATCTTATCCTGTCTAATACAGGATAAATATTGGTCAATACTCAAACCTAGTCATGTTTACAAGTTTTTTTTAGTAATATGTAATGATTTGAAGGCCATATGTTTGTTGCTAACCTCATAGGGGCAATTTATTTTCGAGATTTTCAGATTTAGTGATTTCGCGCGCGTCCAAGGTTTCGCGCCATTTGCGAATCGGACGGACGGCCAACAGTAGCCAAATCTGAATTTCAAAACGCAAGCGGATTAAGTCGCTTACCTGGGAAGAGCTATGGACCAAACTCAAGAAACTTGGATGGAGGTTTGAGCACCCAAAATGCCTTGCAGCTGAGAATCGCTACTATACACCTGCAGGCTGGGAGAAACGACCACACACAACCCACCTTGTTGACTATTATGAGGGTCCCGATGAAGTATGGAAGCATTTGCCTGAAGATGGTACGTCCTGAAATGCGTATTAAACTAATGTTGAAGAGACTAACTGTGATGTAGTGCTGTATGACGACGCTGGCGTTGCTGCTGAAGTGTCAATCCCACCACCACCCGCTCGTCCACCCGCAGTCCAATCCGACACATCGCCAGCCGAATGCTCAGTCAGAGCTCCTGCTAAGGCCTCGGCCAAGTCACTTGATCCATCGCCCGGCCAGTATCCTGCCAAGTCTCGCACCAAACCCCCAGCAAAGGCGCGCCCCAAAACGCCGGTGAGAGCACCCCCTAAGAAGCGCGCAACGAAGGCGGTTGCGTCGAGAACACCCGTCACCACAGCGATCGCCACGTGTACCAGCACCGACACGTGTATAACCACCCCGAAGCACGCGCCTAGTGGATGAAACGGTAGATATATCGGTTGACATTGACCGGATGAGCTCTGGTGACGAAGTTGACTTCGCCGTAGACGACGACTATATTGAATCCGATGTCGAAGCCCCCAGTGAAAGTTCCAGTAGCGGAGTTAAAGCGACGAGACATGAAGAGGACGCGGTTGATCTCTCTACGGGGTCCCTTTTGACAAGATCACCAAGGAGCAATTGAGCAAAAGCTGGCTGGAAACCCTTTTTCGAAGAGAATGTAAGTACAAACCTGGATAATACAGGATGTCATTTTCTGAACCGTAACGGAATCCTGTGCCAGACACTAATTTTATGTCTTCGATGCTTGATGTAGGTACTTCTCTACCGTTACCTGCTGCCGATCTAGCGCGTGCTATCGCCGCCCCCACCCAGCTTGCTCAAGCACTGGGATGCAACCTGGAAAAGTTATTATTTTTGTTCCTACCAAAAGAGATGTGGCCTGCTATTGCTACCGAGTCAAACCGTAATCAGCTCAAGTACCGGGAGCAGGTGGCGGAAGCGAGCATGGCTCGCCAACAACGCATCAAGGACAGACGACCGGCGTACAAGATGAAGACACTGCAGCAAGTTCAGAAAGAGCAGAGAGCATTCAAACCTATTCGAGCCCACGAGTTGATGAGCTTCATCGGACTACTCTGCGCCCGTATTCTGTGTTCTCCCAAAGAAAAGTTGTCAAAGCACTGGGCAGTTAATGCTCAAGGTGTGGTTCCCAAAGGAACATTTGGGCGTTACATGGCGAGAAAGTGATTCGAAGAAATCGTGCGCTTCTTGTACTTTAATGACAACAGTCATCCTGATGCGGTCAAGTTCAAGGCGTGGAAGATCAAGCCTATCTCCGACACAATCAACACAACATTCAAGCTGAGGATGATGGTGGGTCAGCGAATTGCCTTCGACGAAGGCATGATACCTATGAGGAGCAAGTACAACCCAATGCGCCAGTATCTTCGAGGAAAGCCCGACCCGTGGGGTACGAAGTGCTTCTTGACGTGTGAAGTTCGTACCGGCTACTGCTGCAGGTATGGATATTATGTTCCTGTATGATACAGAGCGAAAACTCACGCCTTTGTTGTATAGGGCTGAAATTTATCAAGGAAAGGTTGACACAGACAGCGCGGATCTGAACCAAGGCCCCAACGCCGTGCTGCGCAATGTTGATGCGGTCCTCGACGGCCTTCCCAAGAGACGACTCATTATCACGGATCGGCTCTAATCAAGCGTACTGCTGTCTTCGATTCAGCTGCAGCGTGGGCTATACCATGTTGGTAAAACTCAAACCAACAGACGTGGTCACTGCAAAGCTATCCCGTACAAGAATGCGAAGCGACCCAAAACTATGGCACGAGGTTCATATGGTATCGCGTATTCCAAGGAGGAACCCAGCATGATTGTGGTGTCGTGGATGGACAACCGTCCCGTACACTTCATCTCCACGGGCTGCAGCACGGAACCAGCAACTCTGTCGAGGCGTGAGGGTTCCGCAGCTGTCGATGTACCAGCACTGCGCCTTGTCAAGCAGTATCAAGACGGCATGGGAGGGGCTGACGTACACGACCAATTGCGGTTACAGAGATACTCAATTTAGGCCCGTTTTACTCGCATTACACTTAACCCTGTATAATCCACGATCAACTGACCTACATCTAACTTTATCCTGTACTGTCCAGAGTGCCATGCAAATGCGGAAGACCTACCACACTATCTTCCTTGGGCTCGTTGACATGGCTCTGATCAACGCATTCATCATCTTTCGTCGCGTGCAAGGTGATCTCACAGCTGGTTCAACTCAACCAACGCATGCCCACTTTATGCGAGTAATGCAGATGTACCTGCCGGCTGTTGGCGCATCAGATTTCGAAGGTGACTTATCGATTTGCGCGCTGACTGACACGCCGGTTCCCCCTACGGCGACTCCGAGATACAGACTATCGACAAGCCATCCAAATAAGCAAGTCGAAGTGTAACGTACGGCGCGAGGCAAGAATGGCGACGAATCGAGAAAGCGTCGACAGTACGCTAGCAAGGTATGATCGTTACTGCGACCGACGAGGAATCCGTGGGAAAGTACCTTCTATTGCGTTGAGTGTACCGAGACAAGATTTGCGGGGACACCCGACGAGAGTTCAAGTGCTAAGGGCAAGATCTATTTATGTCAAAAGGTGCGACAGCACGATCCGACTGCGGCGACAAACTCTGCCACGTGCAGCCAAATTTGGCACGAGGCGGCGCTAACATTCCACCGGGGCTGAAGACGAGCAGGCTGCGTGCTCCAGCAGGTCAAGGAGCGCAGACATCCGACAGAGACGATAATGTCCCTAATGATAGCTGTAGCGCCAGGTCGGGTAGTGATGGAGGGTCGCAAGCTGATGGCGGCGTGGAGACCCCAGTGATCTAGTCAAATGAATGTATGTATACTTGTGAATGAAGGTAGTTGTAAATTTAGACTTTTTTTTCTCTACGATTACATAAACTGTTGCTGGGAAATACAGGATCCACCATCACCTCTCCTCAAAATACACTGTGCTGCTCACGATAGATAGCAAAAAAAAGATTGTATCCTCACAATCCTCACAAAAACTCCGCAATAGTTATGGCAAGTCATTTCGTTATCCTGTACAATACAGGATAACTTGGGCCCAAAACACGGGCTAGAGGGGCTAAACTGCCGTCCGCTTTGTAGATTGTTAAACTTACGTACAAACAAAGAGCCTTAGCACAAAAGAGAGAATATTTGGAGAATGTAAGTGTATTTGGATCTAGGATCACAGAGGAAACACAAAAAAGATGACGACCTGCTACACACAATTGGTGCTGAAGGATTGCGACGACGACAGGGTCGGCTTTTACGTGGGACGGGTGTATAACTTCGGCTACACCCGACGTCGACAGCACTACATTGTGTGACACAATTGTCACAGCGGTGCTCGTGCCACATAATTGTATTATTAATAACGCTACATGAACTTGTGTCCATAGTACCGTAGCCGACTAAAATGTTTGATTAATGTGTCGTGACTTAGATACAAACAGCCCCACCCTCGCCGCAAGCCCACAATGTTCATGCACGCATTTGATATGACAGGTTGTCAGCTTAAGACATCTCCATCATGCTACACTATCATTCTCCGTTACGTCCTACTGTATTGGACGCCGACTGTTGACACAGAAGTATATTTTTCTCACCGTTGAGCAGCCATAAAAAAATAGATGGCTTCCATCCACCTCCATTGCGATCGATTGAGTCAATCATGCGATCGATTGAGTCAATCGATCGCAATGGAGGGTGGATGGAAGCCATCTATTTTTTTAATCGGATTGACGCCTACGAGCATCAGCGATGAACTGATGATGCTCGACATCCCACTTCTCATTCCAACATTTGATCACAAACGCACAAGCTGAACCACACCCCATACCAGCAAACCAACCATGACTATCTCCGACAACAACACCGCCCAGCAGGAGTTTTCGAAGCTGCAAGATATGATGCAGAACGGTGCCAACGAAGCCACGAGCTACCTCGACTCACTCAAGTCCAAGTTTACCGACTACGACAGCTCGCACACATCGTCGAAGGAGACGGCCTCATCCTACTTTGAGAGCGCCATGGACCGGGCCAGGAAATCCGTGGATGATTTTAAGCAAAAAGCAGAAGAAGTGCGCAGACAAGGGAACGACGCGTCGGACGATGCTGTCGATGCCGCCAAGCGCTCCATGGACCAAGCGAACTCATCACTTAATGACTTGGGCAGCTCCGCCCGTGACTACGACCAGCGTACGCGTGACAACGTCAGCTCAGGCGTGGATACCGCCAAGGACAAGGGCTCCAGCACTTTGTCATCGATGCAAGACTCCATCTCATCGCTCTTGAACTCCACCCGGGAGTCGACATTTCACGGCTTCGAGTCATTGCAGGACCAGTTCGGAGCCACCAAGAAGGCGATGGGAAAGCGAGCGTCCGCCGCAGCCGACGGTATCTCCAGCAAGGCGTCCGAAGCTTCGAGCAAGCTGAACCCGGAGGAGCCGTCGTTGATGGAGCGAGCGAAGGGAGCCGTGTCTTCGGGGGCGGAGTATGTGTCGAGAGCGGTCACCGGCGATGGCAAATAGGGCCTCTAAGAGATCGTAGGTGAGAAGGGCAGAATAGTGGTCTTCTCTTCGTTCAGACGAGCCTTCGTAACAAGAATTAGCTGAAACTTTAGCATAACTTGTTCTAGTTCACGTCTTATTTGTGTGTTCAGAAGTGGGCAATGCGCGGCGCGCTGGTGAGCTCGGCGCTGGATCCGTCTCAGCAAATGTCGCGCGGCCTTCACGTTCTCCAAAGTCTTAAGTTTGGGCTCTGCAGCTTCTATCAAAGTCCGAAAAGGCCCAAATAACTGTTTACATGTATTTATAGCAATTGTTGCATCCAAACTTGCAAAAGTAACCAGTCACTAATGCAGGTTTGGTGGATACTTATCCAATTGATTCATTAGAAATAGCACCGATTCTAAAAAAAAGTAACCGGTGGAAAAATTGTCTTCTCGGTACTTAAGTCCACTGAACTCGCAATCTTTGGATTCGACTTTTCGTCGTGGCTCTTCGCGCTCATTCTCCACAGCCCGACAAAACACTTGTCGTTTACGAGCTTCAGCCGCTCGCAAGATCTTGCCCCTTAGCAATTTTGGCACCATTGCTGCAACTTCGGTAGTGACACGTTTGGTGTTCGCACTTATGCTATTTTCCAATGGAAAAGTGAGAAAGTAAAAAAATAAGCTTCGCGTTGGTCACTTGGCTTGAAATTTCGTGCGTGGAGGGGGGGGGGGCTGGAAAGCGCTTGACGCGTAACTTGATGCCAGTCTGAGACACGGCCCTTACTCGCAGACGCTTATCCCCAGTCGATTGAAACTAGAGTGGCTAAAGTTTCAGTAGATTCTTCTTATCAAAGCAAGCCTAAATGAAAACTTCTACCCTTTCCACCTGCGATCTGTTATTTGCCGTCGCCGGTGACCGTACTCGACACATACTCCACCCCCGAAGACACGGCTCCCTTCGCTCGCTCCATCAACGACGGCTCCTCCGGGTTCAGCTTGCTCGAAGCTTCGGACGCCTTGGTGGAGATACCGTCGGCTGCGGCGGACGCTCGCTCTCCCATCGACTTCTTGGTGGCTCCGAACTGGTCCTGCAATGACTCGAAGCCATGGAATGTCGACTCCCGGGTGGAGTTCAAGAGCGATGAGATGGAGTCTTGCATCGATGACAAAGTGCTGGAGCCCTTGTCCTTGGCGGTGTCCACGCCTGAGCTGACGTTGTCGCGCGCACGCTGGTCGTAGTCACGGGCGGAGCTGCCCAAGTCATTAAGTGATGAGTTCGCTTGGTCCATGGAGCGCTTGGCGGCATCGACAGCATCGTCCGACGCGTCGTTCCCTTGTCTGCGCACTTCTTCTGCTTTTTGCTTGAAATCATCCACGGATTTCTTGGCCCGGTCCATGGCGCTCTCAAAGTAGGATGAGGCCGTCTCCTTCGACGATGTGTGCGAGCTGTCGTAGTCGGTAAACTTGGACTTGAGTGAGTCGAGGTAGCTCGTGGCTTCGTTGGCACCGTTCTGCATCATATCTTGCAGCTTCGAAAACTCCTGCTGGGCGGTGTTGTTGCTCGAGATGTTGTCGGAGATGGTCATGGTCGGTTTGCTGGTATGAGGTGTGGTTTAGCTTGTGTGTTTGAGATCAAATGTTGGAATGAGCAGTGGGATGTCGAGCATCATCAGCTGGTCACTGTTGCTTGTAAGCGTCAGTCGGGTGCATTGCGATCATCGCAATGGCCCTGTGTCACATAGGATGGAAGCCATCTATTTTTTTATGGCTGCGATGGACGTCTCAACGGTGAGAAAAAAAACTTTTTTTCAGCATTCGGTAACGGAGAATGATAGCGTTCAGTGCTAGCAGCATGATGGATGTTCTAAAATTTGCAGCTCGTCATCGCAAATGCGTGCATGTTCATTGTGGACTTATTATTTTGCAGCTACACGTTTGATCACGCAATGCATGTCACTTTTGCACAAACATTTCAGTCGGTGTGTTTACTACGTACTCTCACTTTGTCTCAGTAATACAATCATGTGGCGTGGGGCTAATGGTATCTCTGTGAAGTTAATATTGCGAAAATATCAACTGTTGACCCGTTTTTAATACAAGAAAATATCACCTAATATTTTCCTCTGAGACAATATGTTATTAGTAAATATCAACTTAATATTAGCTAATAGGATATTAATTATTTTAAAGATTGCGTAATCGAGCTAAATTCACCAATCAGATGTCGTTAACGCTCGAATAGCTGAAGTATTACTAATCAAACGACAATTGTGAGAGTGACGGCAAGGTTGGCGTCGTGTGTTGGCACTGCTGAGCGCATTAATCTAGCGCCACCGGCAGCAGGTTTATAAGACGCACGATGTGGACGAGGAGATCGGTAGAGAACAAGAACAAATGTCTTGATTTCGCTCTATCAACGTTAAACAGCTGCAAGCGTTTGCAGTTTTCCATCTCGATCGCCTTTGTCTGTGTCACAGTGAAATACTAGAGCAAATACTTGTCAGTCTTAAAGCCGACTGCTTTTCTAGAACCTGATCGAAAAAGGATTTTGGCTCCGCTCGGGTAAGGTGGCAAGAAACGTATTTAAGTGGGAAAATATCATAAAATATTATGTAGTACTACTGTAGTATCTAATATTTTTCAGTTCTCCGAGCTAGTATTAAAATATTATGTTAACTTTTGCAAAAATGAGCTACTATTAAAATTTAATTTCGAAAATAGTACTATTCTATCAAAAATATTATATGATATTTGGTTACCATTAGCCCTGCATGTGGCACGCATTGTCCTCAGCAGCTCGTCATATCATGTGTACTTCCTCTTATCGTCTATGTCATCCTCGATCCAGATGCCATCGTTCTTAGCACTTTTACAAGGCTCCTTTTTATTTGTTTGTAGGAATCCGTTTAATCTCTTCGCCAAATCTGCCATTTTCATGGTCCTGTTGAAGTCCACTTATAGAAGCTGCCATGTCGACATGTGATTCCAGGCAATCTCTGGGGACAGAAAGTATTGGGCTTGCGCTCTAGCTCGACCAATTCTTCAGTTTTCCAACCTTGCTTTCAGACTTTCACAATTATAAATGATCATGTTTCTTAAGACAGCGTCAAAACAAAATGATACTTACGAACCTAAGTACGAATCGCGATTTAACCACTCTAAAGCGTGTAAGCTTAGAGCTAAAGTGCAAAATTTGCCCCGCTTTCGTGTAAGCTTAGTGGTGCAATGCATTCATCTCACTATCCTTCGCCTCGTAGCTTGGCGGCGAATATGGTTCATGAGCTTGGTAAGCTTTTGCGCGCTGCGGTAGATACGGCTGCAGCAATTGCGGACAAATTTTTACGGAGTTTCTCCTTGAAACAGGATGGCTTAGATGGATCGGTTTGAGAGCAACGTGGCGGGCAGTAGTGATTGGAGAAGGAGCATCGCAGCGACCGTCGAAGTCAGAGAGAATGCAAGTGTGTATGGATCTAGAATTACTGAGGAAACACAAAAAAAAATTGACGACCTGATACACAAAATTTGTGCTGAAGGGTCGCGATGTCGACAGGACATCGCCCGGCGATGCCGGGGTCGGCTGTTACGTGGGACGGGTGGAATCCTGGATGGATATGCACCAGCACTGCACACAATTGTCACAGCAGCGATCGTGCCACACGACGTTACGCAAACAGCGATCGCATGAGGGGTACGTACTAAGATGTTTGCACACATTGCGTGATCAAGCGTGCCGTGACTTGTCATCTCCTTGTCATAGATACAAACAGCAGCACACAAACACTTCAGTTACCAGCCACAAGTCCACTATGTACATGCACGCATTTTGCTGTCAGCTTAAGACATCTCCATTATGCTACCGTTACGTCCTACCTGTTGGACGCCGACTGTAGTTTTATTTTTCTCACCGTTGAGACGTCCATCGCAGCCATAAAAAAATAGATGGCTTCCATCCTATGTGACACAGGGCCATTGCGATGATCGCAATGCACCCGACTGACGCTTACAAGCAACAGTGACCAGCTGATGATGCTCGACATCCCACTGCTCATTCCAACATTTGATCTCAAACACACAAGCTAAACCACACCTCATACCAGCAAACCGACCATGACCATCTCCGACGACATCTCGAGCAACAACACCGCCCAGCAGGAGTTTTCGAAGCTGCAAGATATGATGCAGAACGGTGCCAACGAAGCCACGAGCTACCTCGACTCACTCAAGTCCAAGTTTACCGACTACGACAGCTCGCACACATCGTCGAAGGAGACGGCCTCATCCTACTTTGAGAGCGCCATGGACCGGGCCAGGAAATCCGTGGATGATTTCAAGCAAAAAGCAGAAGAAGTGCGCAGACAAGGGAACGACGCGTCGGACGATGCTGTCGATGCCGCCAAGCGCTCCATGGACCAAGCGAACTCATCACTTAATGACTTGGGCAGCTCCGCCCGTGACTACGACCAGCGTGCGCGTGACAACGTCAGCTCAGGCGTGGACACCGCCAAGGACAAGGGCTCCAGCACTTTGTCATCGATGCAAGACTCCATCTCATCGCTCTTGAACTCCACCCGGGAGTCGACATTCCATGGCTTCGAGTCATTGCAGGACCAGTTCGGAGCCACCAAGAAGTCGATGGGAGAGCGAGCGTCCGCCGCAGCCGACGGTATCTCCAACAAGGCGTCCGAAGCTTCGAGCAAGCTGAACCCGGAGGAGCCGTCGTTGATGGAGCGAGCGAAGGGAGCCGTGTCTTCGGGGGTGGAGTATGTGTCGAGCGTGGTCACCGGCGATGGCAAATAGGATCATTAAGAGATCGTAGGTGAGGAGGGCAGAAACACAAGCCTTCGTAAAAAGAAACTTAAACTCTACTTTCTCCAGCTCACTTCTTTTTTGAACGAACTAATAACTATTCATTGTCTGGCAGTCAGCCCTCTGTATCATCAAGTCAAAACCGCACCCTTAATTACCCGTAGGTGTATTTTGAGTGTCTGTAAAAAGGGGATTTACGCTCGGTAAAAAGTGCTCAAACAAACGGACGTCTTAAACGTTCTTTGAGCAGACGTTTTTTATTAATACCAGCGCTGTTCATTAGACATGGATCATCACAAGTGATACTGTAAAAAGTTTTGATTTTGGCCTTGTATGGGATGATCTTGATCTTGCTTGCTATTAAAATTTCGTCCCTGAACGCGGTATCAGAGTTTCGCAAGTACATATACCGCAAATCACGTCGAGCATCTAGAGCACGTAAACTGTTTTACGAAGGATGCGAAAAATACACTTTTCATTTCCAAATTATCTGTTTTCTAGCTTCGTCGAGATTTACGGCACCGGTATCACCATGTTACGACAACGCAGCTATAAAAAGTTGGTAGGTGTGGCGAAAGCCGGAGCCTGGATTCTAAGAAAACGTTTTATAAAAACAAAAAGGAGCCTGATAAAAGAGCTAAGATAGATAATATCTGGATTGAGGATGGCATAGTCGATAAGAGGGAAATTTAATCATATGACGAGCTGCTCAGGACCACACACAATTGGTCACAGCGGACATGATTGTAATACTGGGGCAAACAGCGATTGCGTGAGGGTGCTGCACGCAGTAAACACACCGACTAAAATGTTTGCACAGAAGTGTCTACAGCGTGCTCAAACGTGTCGTGACTTGTCATCTTCTTACCATAGCTCAAAGCACAAACGCCTGCAGCTACCAGCCTCATCGCAAACCTACAATGTTCATGCAGTCTGAGAATGCGGCCTCCGTCAACTTTGCCTGGGAAGACCTGGACGCAGCGGTTTTACTCGCAGACGCTGAATCACTGTTAATGTACATCGGTGACAAAAGTAGTGGTGAACTGGCCTCAAGTGATAACATCAAGCACCTTACTAGCAGCAGCGACAATGCCGAGGTTGGTAAGCGCAAGATTCGTCGAGCGGCTGATGCTCGTAAACGACAAGTGTATCGACGGGTTCGGAAGAGTGAGCGCCAAGAACTGCGACGACAATTCAGCATCCTAAGTGAGGAACTATCTCGATTACGCCAGACCAAGGAAGACGAGAAGACCGCGTTCGACGCAGCCCAGACATCCGGCTTCTGGTTCTGGCAAGCTAACGCTATTCAGCAGCGCCAAGAACGATTGCTAGCCGAAGACGAGCAGCGAGCCCTGACTGTGACTGCTCAAGTTCAAGCCACATATATTAGAAAACTGAGTGAGATCGTGCGGAAACGAGGAGACTTAACTACCGACGGAATACCAATCGATTCTGACCTGAACGAATGCTTTCAGCCAAAGGAAGACGACGTGTTCGAGGGTCACATTCAAGAGTTGGACGTAGAGTGTGCCATGTAGTCAAGCATATATAGAAAGAAATTAATACGCGTCAAAGGAACACGACCCGGTAATAACGAACACTATCTGCCTCCCCTCCACACACGCACGCACACTCACGAGAAAAAAAAATAGTTGCACATCTTCTTTACAAACGTTTCTTTTTTTTAATACAAATGACACAAAAGTACGTGGTACACATTTTCGTATTATTTTCGGACGCAGCTTTCCCGCCATCACTTATCCTAATTCTATCAGACGCGAGCATGACGGTCAACGTAGGTGACACGGTGTTGGCATACCATGGGCTAATGATCTACGACGCCAAAGTGCAGAAAGTGGACAACGGTCAGGGTGTGCTGGAGACGACAGGCGCAGGGGGTCGCCCCACCGACAGTACGCAATACTACCTGCACTACCAGGGTTGGGCCAAGAAGTGGGACGAATGGGTGCGTCACGGCCGCGTGCTGGAGGACACGCCGACCAACCGCGCACTGCAGAAGAAAGCCAAGGAGGATGTCGCAAAGGCAAAGAAGGAGAAACGTCTGTCTAAGAAGAAGAAAATAAGCTCAGCCGGCGTAGACGCCCCCAGCTCTCGCAAGTCCCCGTTTAAACGCTTAAAACGCAGCACAGAGGGCGAATACGAGGAGTTCCCGGGGCCCAATGACGCCTCTGCGGACGACGGGACGTCCGCCAAACAGATCAACATCCAAATGCCCTTTTCACTCAAGAAACAGCTCGTGGAGGACTGGAAGAACGTGACTCATGCGCCGCACAAGCTCGTGCCGCTACCTAGGAAGCCCAATGTGAGTCAGATTATCCAGACGTACCTCGAATTTAAGAAGAGCAAAGTGCGCACAGGAGAAGCCAGCGAGGAGAAGGAGTACAAGAACATCGAAGGCATTATGCAGGGCGTGCAGTCGTACTTTGATCGAGCTTTGAGCTCCATCTTGCTCTACCGCATGGAGCGTCGTCAGTACCAGGAGCTGCGACAGAAACAGAGCGAGGAAGTGCCGCTCTCGCAGATTTACGGCGCTGAACACCTAATTCGGCTCTTCGGTACGTGTGTTATGTTACTTTGTTACTTCACTGCATTGCTTATTTTCGGTGTGTCTGTTTTAGTGAGATTACCTGTTTTGCTGGCGAGCTCCAACATCTCTCCGCGAGAGCTGAACCAGATCCAGGCGCGTCTTAACGATTTCCTCAAATTCATCCAGAAGAACTCGGCTGCGTGGCTCGTCACGGAGTACGAGGCCGCTTCGGACAAGTATGTGGAGCAAGCTACTGCTGCATCTTCCTAAAAAGAGCTCCATGAAGCTATTTTCATTTTTACTCGAATCTGAATTTTTGAATTTCCATTTAGAAATGTTTCAATCGTACTTTTTAAGTACGATTAATAGCTACAGTCCTCAATACTCCGAAGCCGATGACTCACTGGACGTTGTCCATGCTTCTGTATGCCGTCACGAGCTGGCAGGCCTGGGTGTTGGCCACTGTAATGCTCTACGTCGCCTTCCAGCTCCACTTCTTGCCCGAAGGACTGGCCAGAGTTGCGGCTCGCTTGTATTTCTATCCGACGTGGCCGCTCACGTACCTTTCGCGACGGAAAAACTACTGGACGTTGGTGGACTCTCACGTCCTTTTGGGGGCCGCTCCGATGTCGTTCATGCCTCATGTAGATGCTCTGGTGTCTCGTGGAGTCCGTGCGGTGGTCAATATGTGCGACGAGTATGCAGGTCCCGAGAAGCAGTACAAACGCCAACACATACAACAGCTTCGTCTCCCTACAGTCGACCATTCTGAGCCTTCGTTAGCATCTCTGGAAGCTGCTGTAGCCTTCATCCGCACTCAGAAGCAACGAGGAGTGAGGACCTACGTACACTGCAAAGGAGGAACCGGACGCAGTGCCGCTGTGGCGCTTTGTTGGCTGGTCGCTAATCGAGGCATGACACCACGAGAGGCGCAGGACTACCTCAATGAAAAGCGTCACGTGCGCAAGTCCCTCTATCTACAGCCGAATATCCTAGCGTTTTGTAACAAGATACAGACGCCCAAGGCAAGTGACAGACAGGAAGAAGCAGACGAGTAACAAATGGGCGAAGATAGAGCTTCATTTTTACCTAAAGTAAAAGAAAACACTTTTTTGGGCAACATTTGCGTTTTTCTTTTCGACAAAATAAACTTTCCTCCGTCAATTCTCGTAAAAGTTGCCAAATCGATTGTAGATCAGCTCTCGATCGTATTTGGAGCGAGCACTTTCGTCGGAAAGCACATTGTACGCGGCTGTCATCTCCTTGAACAAGTCCGCGTGAGTCGACGTCTTGGCTTTGTCTGCATACACACCCTAATAGTCAATAACCTTTCCTCCACACACACACCCAAAATATCCACTTACCTGGATGATACACAAGTGCCAGCTTACGATACGCCTTCTTGATCTGGTCTGTCGTTGCTGCCTTCTCAATCCCAAGAACATCGTAATGCGTTCGCCGTTGAGTCTTCGGCGCCATGAACGAAGCTCGACTACCAGCACCAGACGATTGGTGTCCTCCGTAGCCATTACTACCAGTATTCCGCCGGAAGTTCTCGTTGAAGGTGCTATCATTCCACGACGGCTCCTCCCAGCGGCGTTGACGTCTCTGACGTTGTTCTCGCTCCGCACGCTTCTTGGTCGCCTCTCGCTGTCTCGCTTGTTCCCGCGCTTTCGCGATCGCTGCTTTCGCTTCGTTACGCTCCCGACGCACGTCGGCAGTGCCGTCTACGGACACGTCACGCGGTTGTTCCCGTAAATAGCGATCAAAGTCCTTGACCGCTTCGTGGAACATTTCCAACGCCACATGACAGCGAGCTCGACGTAGCAGCGCACGAGGATACGTTGACTTGCGTTGCAACGCCTCATTACAGTCCAGAATCGCCGTGTGATAGCGTGCCAGCCCCATCTGAGCTGCTGCACGATTGCAATAGATAACCGCACAGAACTCTTGATGCTGTGGGTCGATCAGCACCGCCTCTGAGTAGAACCGCACGGCTTCTTGGTACTCTCCTCGCTTGAATCGTTCGTTGCCGTTGTGTTTAAGTTGCTTCATGTCTTGCCACTGTCTTTTCAGCTGAATCACGTGCGAGCTGCAAGGTGCCACCACTTCCAGAGCGTTAAGTATCCGCACGGCATCGTCCACTTTGTTCTGGTAATGCAGCGATGTGGCCCACAGTAATCCCAGATCAATGCCCACCACTGTAATCTTCTCCACCGTTTGGCGTCTCAGCGTCTTGACGTTCATGCCATCTCCACTCGCAGGACTAGGCATCTTTCGCTGACTTCTTTGCTGTTTTTCAATAATTGAGTCACAAAACTCGACGAGTTGATCGAATTCTCTGTCGACAAACAACAATTAGCCTCTATACTAACCAGAACAATGACGTATTGCGTACCTTTGACCAAGTAGAATTTGGCCTTTTTGAACCTGTAGCTTTCTGCTGCTTGGAGCGAGAGCCAGAGCGCTGTCGGTGTGTACGAGAGCCTGTTTATAGTCGCCAGCGTCAACGTACCACTTGATCTCGCCTTGTAGCACCGTCAACTTCTTGATGGTGTCTTCCATCTTGGTGAGCGACGCGTGGTCTGCCTGGTCTCCTGCTCGAATTTCACCTCCACGTCCTTCCATCAACTGCCTCGCAGTATCCAGATTCGCTTGCGCATGGCCAGTATCGCCCAGCAGCACTTGGATTCGACCTAAGCGAAGATACGCGCGTGCGTAGGTTGCGTCCACTTCAATCGAACGGCGACATTCCTGCTGAGCTTCTGTGATCTGCATCAGCATCATCAGAGACGCCGCTCGATTCGCGTGGAGCTTGGCCTTGTCCGTTCTGATCTCACTCGAATCTTCAATCGCGTCATGATACAGCAGGGAGTCGAGAACCTCAATACTCTGACGGTAATACTCAGCTGCTTCGTGGTATTTCCTCGAGCAGTGAGCGACGCCACCAAGTCGCTTCAGTTCCTCCCAGTCGCGTTCATCTTCGCTATCCATCTCCGTGTCACCCTCGACATGACCGCTGCTTGTTGTAAGAGGAACTGACCTTGCACGATCCCCAACGTTCCGTAGCGCTGCACGAAGAATACGACGCGATCCAGCAAGCGCAGGCCGGGTTGTTTCTTTCTGTGGTCTGGCTTCATTAGGTACGGGTCTATGACTTGGCTTTGGATCACCGGGTTGGCTCTGCTGTGTCGGAAAGCCAAAAGGATTAGTACTTGGAGTCGCAGCTTTAACAGTCGGTCGTACGGTTGGTGCTGATACAAACGGTGACGACGTCGCGTGGCTCTGGAAAGTAGGCGTCACAAACGGGTCGGCAGGAGGACTGCGTCCGTGACGTCGAAGACGAGCATTCTTGCGGCTGCGTCGGTTGTGCATACCGAAAGGAGACGGCGTCGCTGGAGACGAGGGAGCCAATCCGGGCGACGGTTCTGGCTCAAAAGACCCAATCTTGGCATCCTTCCTGGGACTGTTCTTGTGTGTGAACATCCCGCTCTTCCTGGGACGTACTCGCGAGCTCTTTTTCGTGTTTGAACTGCCAATCTGGAAGCCATCACTAGTCGGAGTTGACGCATTGCCATCTTGATATCCACTAGCACTTGCTCCTGGCTGTAAATCGGGTTTTGTTTCTCCAAACTGGAAAGGGTGACGTGACGTACCGTTACCAAACAAAAGCTGTCCACTGGCGTCGGTGTTTGCGGTCGTCGAGGAGCTTTTCGACCCGAAAATGCCAGTCTGGAAGGGAGATGCAGCAGGTGTCTGGAAGGGATTACCTTCTGTGCTTCCGAACACGTATGATCCGCTCGTGTTGTCGGTGGATGGCTGCTTCGACGGCATCGCAGTGGTCGACGCACGAGCTTGTGTACTCCCGAACGGAGCTGCAGCTGTCGTATTAGAGCCCACGCGAGTAGCTGGTGCAGCTTGGAAAGGCGACGAGCCAAACGTTGGCATCGATGACGAGACACCGAAAGGCGACGAGTTTGTGCTGCTTGTAGGAGGTGTAAACGCAGCTCCCAAGCTGTTCTTTTTCTTCCGTCGATCTAAATGCTGCTTTGGGCCAGCTACACCAGTCGAAAAGAACGCAGACACCTTTGCGGAATCCAAACTTCCACCTGAAGTGCCGCTAGTGGGGACGTTTGCTCCATGTGCAGACTCTGTCGACTCATTCGCGTGGATCGAGTCGTTGCTGTTTTGTCGCGTAAACGGGTTTCGATTCTTGTACGCTTGTCCGAATAGAAACTCCCCATTCGCAGGCTTCACCTGTGGACTTGCACTCCGCATAGAAGTGTCATCTCCATCGTCCACGATCTTAACCGGCGGTGGTGTCTTAAATGACAGCTTGTCCACGCCCTGTCCAGCAAAAGTATAAGGTTTCGGGGGTTTCCCACTTTGCCCCATAGTAAATCCGCTCTCAACCGGCGTGTGTTGTGGACTTGGACTGCGCATAGGAGCGTCATCACTGAACGCTGTCGTTCCAAACGTAAAATCCGGCGTCTTAGGTGCAGTCTTCTGCTGGTTAGAGAACGCAGGTATCTCCACTGACGGGAAGTTAAACGCTGATTTATCTTCGTGGTGTTTCTGCGAGTCATTCATTGAGAAATCTGTCGCTGTAGTGCTCGGTGCAGTCCTCTTCTCTCCAGTAAACAGCGTGGAGAATCTCGGTGACACGCCTGTGGGACGACACGGAGCTGTAGATGTCCGTCTCCTCGATGGTCTCTTGTCTGCCACTCCAGCGTGGAAACGCCACTGTCCCGCCTCCACGTCGAACAAATTGGGCGTCTCCGTCGCCTCATCCTCCGTCTGCTCCTCTTCGTCTGCCTCCTCTATCTGCACATTACGACGTTTAAATGGGTTGTCCTCAAAGGCCGCTTGAAGGTCCTTCCACGCGTAGAAAACGCCGTTGTTCTTGGCCCGTTGGGGCAAGTCGATGACCTCGTCTTGCTCTGTCCCGTCCAAAGTGTCCATCTTGGAATCCGACTGCTGCATGTCCAAATCGTTGTCTGGATCCAAGTCATCTGTGTCTACGGAGCTAGTGACGGAGCCTGCGTCGCCCAGCGACGTCTCAGACGGAGCGTAGTCGTCGTCGTCCTCCTCATCGCTCTCTGGAGATGGCATGGGGCAGGAGAACGAGTCTGTGGGGCTCAATGGGATCTCACCATAAGAAGACCATTGACTACCATCAGAGTGCACGTCGTGGTCGTCGTCCGAGCTCTCCGAATACTCTACGAGCCGCACCATGAAGCAGACGGCGCTTGGGCGCGGAAACCTCGAGCCGTTATGAGTGAATGTAGTTGGCCGGAAGACTTGAATGACACTGACTACCTGGTTTTAATGACATTTGTAATAGTTTATAGAAAAGTGAAAGTTGCACCTAACTGACTAGGTTCGTATATAGAGGTAAATTACCCGATGGATAAGGCGGTCGTTTTGATACGGAAATGTATGGGTTGATCTTTGAGTCTATGAGCGCTTAACCTTCTTGCTGCGCTTAGAAGACGCGGATGTCCGTCGCTTGGTGGGTTTGCTGGTTTCTACTGCCTCGTTGTCGCTATCCAACGCGTCTCCGGCTTGTTTCCACGCCACATCCTCCGCCGCCTCGACGTCAACGTCGCCCGTTTGCCGCACTCTTCCCACCTCTTTGCCGTGCTGGTTGTCCCAGTCCTTGAGCTTGGCGCCCATCATAAAGTCGTCCTGCACCACAGACCACGAGCTCTTAGCGGCAGGTTTCGCTGTAGTCTTCTGTTGCGAAGCCTTAAGCAGACCCAAGAAGTTGTCCTTGGACATCTCCTTGACCTTTTTGTCGTTCTTGTCCTCCTTCTTGCCGCCCTGATGTTGGTGCTTCTCAATGGCGTTAAACAGAGCCACCACTGCAGCAAAACTACACGTCAGTATCTCTGGTGAATAGAATATACCCAGCTCTATTGCTCACCTCCTTTCGTCGCGATCATACGCAGCTTTCGGTCCTGTACCGCCGTCGTATGGTCAGGTACTGCCATGTCCTTCTGCTCACGTTCGCGCTTCTCAGCAGCACTCAGTCGCGCCGTCTTCGTTTCCTTCTTGTCACTTTGAATCTCACGCATACGCGCCGTCGTACGTTTGGCCAGAATCGGCAGCGCGTCTTCCGCCACGTTCTGGCCGAGAATCTTGCTCATCGCATCTCCAAAGCCCACGGCGTCGTGGGTCTCGTCTTCCTCATCAGAGCTCTGGGGCTGCACGTCCTCCTCGTCATTGCTCTGCTCCTCCTCGCTAGTAGGCGCATTATCAGACGAAGCGTCTTGCGGCTTCTCGGCCTGGGGCGGCTCCTGCGCAGCCTTAGACACCGTCACCTCCGCCATGGCCATCTACTGGTTAAATGTCAAGCATTGTAGCCAACCGATTCTTGACGTGGTGTACATATATTATGTAAATATGATGTAACATTGAAGTTTCTTCAAGCCATGATGGCTACATCAGCCGCATCGACCGTCCCATGGACTTAATCTTCGTCAGCGCACGCACACAGATCCGGAGAGCCTTTCAGATCACCTACATCATCCGTCATTTCCCGAAGACGCTCTTGGAATCGCTCCTCCTCTGCAAACCCACGGATCACTTCAATGGCATCCGACAGCTTCATTCTCTCGGATGGTTCGAATGCACAGAGTCTCTGCACTAAGTCCCACTGTGCGTCGCTCTCAAACGCCTTCGGACGAGGTAGAGACTTCTTACGAGTCACATGAAACTTGACCACCGGGTCGGGCACCTGTCCCCAAGGCACGTCACTCGTCACGGCCTCCACCACGCACATACCGAACGAGTACACGTCCGACTGCGCATTTGGTGCCACTGGCTTCTCCTTACGGATCACTTCCGGCGCCTTCCAACGTATTGCACCGACTGTTTCTTCGTCTCCACTCGTCTCGGACGCTAAGAAACTCAAGCCAAAGTCCGTCAACATGGCTACACCGTCTTTGCTCACAAGGATCTGGTTACACTTGAGATCGCTATGCACAACATGTCGTTCGTGTAAGAAGTGTAGCCCCAACGCAGCGTCCAGCAGCTTCCTCCACACCAGCGACCGTCCTTCTTGTCGTGCGCGGTACAAGTAGTCCACCAACTTGCCGTTCTTGGCTTCTTCACACACGAAGAAATACGTCGAGCCTTCGTCACACGCGCCAAAGAACGGCACGATGTTCGGGTGTCTCGCCTTCTGCCAGATGCGAGCTTCTCGATGGAAAGTGCGGCTCTCTCTGTCGGTAGCTACCGTCACAGTCTTGACCACCACTCGTGTACTCAGCCACCATCCTCTGTACACTTTACCGAAAGACCCCACCAAGAACGGCTGTTGCTCCTTACGAACTTCACGACTCGGAATGTACCAATCCGGCTTCCTCCGCGTTGAGACGACGTCTGTAACTGGAGTTTGAGCATGGAGTTGACTAGTTTCGTACTCGCACAGGATGCTTCGAATCGTGTATCTGCAGTTCAAACGAGCAAACTCAGCTGCGGTTCGACCACAACTGTCCGTCAGAGCTAAGAAGGCTCCACTGTCCAATAAGAGACGAACGATCTCTTCGTGTCCCTTACACGAAGCTCTCATTAACGAGTTCATCTCTTCCGAGTCAGCCACGTTCACGTGTGCCCCGCTGTCCAACAGAAGCCGGACGATCTCCGCATGTCCTCCGTCGCAAGCTAGCATCAACGCTGTCCGGTTATCCCTCGTCTGCATATTGGCGTCAGCTCCTTGGCCAAGCAGAAGCGTGGCGACATCGACGTGTCCTCGTTGTGAAGCCGTCAGCGTCTTTCTCCAACAGTAATCGGTCTGTCCCGCTAGCGCCGTCTCGTGGAGTATCGTGTCTCCGTCGTTGTCTTTTATCGAGATCTCTGCGCCACTGGACAACAAGAGTTTGAACGCTTCCGTGTGGCCGTAGAAGACTGCGTTCTGAAGCGCCGAACAGTTGTTGTAGCCTGTCTCGTTGACACCCGCTTCATGGTCCAGCAGCAGCTGAATGCACTGTGTATCGCCTGTCGACGCAGCGAAGCGCAACGGGGTCTCCTCATCCGGTGCCGTGCGCTTCACAGACGCGCCAGACTCCAATAGAAACTTCAATACTTCCGAGTGTTTGGACCCAGCCGCCATCATCAGTGGCGTACTGCCGTCTGCATCAGGTAAATCGATACTCGCGCCATGCTTCAGAAGCGTCTGGACGGCGTCCAATTGGCCAAATATTGCAGCGATTAACAGCGCGGTGGACCCGTCCTGACTAGACACTGCGTCGACGACAGCCCCGCCTTGTAGCAGCGCTTCGATAACATCAGCATGGCCAGCTTCAGCAGCGATAGCCAGCGCCCTGGACCCGCTGTTATACACCTTTTCAGTGTCAGCTTTGTTGTCCAGAAGGAGCTGAACAACAGCCAAGTGACCTTCCTGAGCAGCAGCGACTAACGCAGTGGCACCGTTCTGGGTGGTCTGATCGATATCCGCCCCACGTTCGAGCAACAGCCTCACGGTGTCAGCATGTCCTCGCGCAGCAGCCCAGAACAGCGCCGTGGAACCATTCGAACTATTAGCGTTGACATGGGCGTCTCTGTCGATGAGAAGTCGTACCAGCTCGTCGTGTTCGCTCTGTGCAGAGCGAATTAATGCAGTGAAGCCATCTCCGTCGGTCTGTTCAATGTCTGCAGCGTTCTCCAACTATATTCGAACGACATCAACGTGGCCGGATGCACACGCTCCGATGAGTGGCGTGACCCCATTGGCTGCAGCCTTGTTGACCTCAGCGTTGTGCTGTAGCAATAATTCAACCGCTTCGGTCCAACCTTGACCAGCAGCCCACAAAAGCGGAGTGTAGCCATCATTAAGAGCTGTACCCATGTCAGCTCCATTGTCCAAGAGATACTGCATTACATGAATGTAGCCACTTGCAGCAGCGATCATGAATGGAGTGGCTCCATCATGTGAAGCCAAGTCAACTGCAGCGCCTTTCTCAACTAGAGAATGCACAATATCCACGTGGCCTCGTCCAGCGGCGAAGATGAGCGGTGCACAGCCGATCGAGTTCTGCACGTCAACGCTCGCTCCTCTCTCGAGCAGCAGCTGCGTGACGTCGCCAGGGATGCCGAATATTGTATTTTTATCTATTGCTAATCAAAGCAGAAAATAAATAATTGGGTTAGAGAGCTGAATAGACCAAAATAGATTATTGAACTTCCTCAGCTCAAAAAATAGATTATTGGTGCAGCAAAATTGGTACACAGCGAGGGCACCAGTATTAAAGAATGTATGGCCAATTAAACACCGCCCAATAGATTATTGGTGCTACAACGGGAGCGAAAATAAATAATTGATCTTCCTCTCCAGAAGTCTCCAATAGATAATTGGTGCTTTCTTATTGCAATAATTGCAGCACCAACCTATTTTTCGGCATCCCTGGACGTCGCTTTGACCGGTCTGAGCAGCCCACGACAGAGCTGTATTGCCTGCACTATTCACCTTATCAACGTCATCTCCGCTGTCCAATAGCTGTCGAATGACGTTCACATGGCCATTCATTGCAGCTCTAGAGAGCGGTGTGTCTCCATTCTCGTCTGGCTTGTTAAAGTCCGCTCCTCTCTCTATAAGGAACTGCACGACAGCTTCATGACCCTTTATAGAAGCACAACTGACTGGCGTCAGTCCGTTGTTTGTGGCCCAGCTCCGCACTCCAGTAAAAGCCGCACCACGTCGACACTGCCATTTTCGGCTGCCCACGTTATGGCTGTGTAGCCATCTTCATCGACTCTTTGAACGTCAGCTCTATGATCTAGTAGGAAGCGCACAACGTCGAGGTGGCCGTTCCCGGCAGCATACATTAGCGGAGTAACTTTCTCCTTAGTAGCTTGATCGGTAGCAGCTCCGTTATTTGCTAGAAACGTCACGATGTCCAGGTGACCGCAGTCGGCAGCCCACAACAACGCAGTGGACCCATACTCGTTCGAGAGGTTAATGCGAGCTCCTTTCTCTACTAGAAGCTGTATGACACCTAATCGACCTGTCTTAGCTGCGCAGATAAGAGCGGTGTTGCCATGTTTGCACGTCTTGTCGACGTTGTCTCCGCTCTCCAATAGAGGCTGCACAACATCGACATGTCCTCCAACTGCAGCAGCGCTCAAAGGATTGTCTCCGTCTTCATTGGCTTTATTTAAGTCGACCTCCTTCGCCAATAAGAGGTGAATTATATCCACTTGACCGTTCTGAGAAGCGCAGAAGAGAGGTGTAATGCCTGTTTGAGCTGTTGAGTTGACGTCGGCTCCATTCTGCAGCAAAACACGAACAGCGTCGACGTGTCCGTTTGCGACCGCGTGATGAAGTGCATTGCAGCCATTTTCGTCTGTGCTATTGACACCCACTTTCGTCGCCAATAAACTTGTTACATTGTCGAGGTTTCCGCTGCTACCGGTAGCGGCCAGTATAAGATCATGTGATTACTTAGTAGTACTAATTTTTTTTTTATAAAAATGTAATATTATAAATATAGTAAATTCATCTGATGTAATACTGTATGATCATATCAGGAGATTTTAAACGCATTAGTCAGTTATTATAAGATACCCTAGGATGTACGAGAAGTTCTGCTCCTACCGCAATGCGGTAGGAGGAGTGTGCTCTGCGGTAGCACCAGTGTGTTTATGAGTCAAGTGAACAAATTCGAGATGGGAAGCCTGTTTTCAGAGTTTAAGAGATTTTCCCGTCATTCCCCAAATCGACCCGTAAATGGTAGGTGGAGCGTCCGTGCTTGGTTCGAGTGGTGCTGAACGCTGAATGAACATGTTGTTGCGCTTACCCGTGAACCTAGAGCGACGAGAGTGAAGGATCTTGCGGTGGAGTAGCGCTGCTGGAGCGCCGCGCGCGCTTGCTTGGACTTCGAGCCCAGCGACGAGAGATTGAGCGAACGGCACGACGAACCGAGGTAAAAGACTCTTGAGCCTTGCATGCGGCTACACAGCTCGCTACTTTTAAGCTCATTCATGCATCTTTGACTCAAACGGAGGTGACCGACTTCGTTGAATAGAAGCGAGAGCAGTACGCTGCTCGGCACGCTTTTGGAGAAGCAGTAAATCCAGTGTCTAAACGATGCAGGACGGTGGCAAGGGTTTTCACCGAGCAGCAACGCGCTGATGCTTTTGATAACTCAGACTCTGATGAGCCTTTGAACGACGACTGTGACTCTGATTTTTAAGTTGACGCGGAGGAAGAGACATCCGCAACGAATTCCGATGATAATCAGGCTGGTGGTATTGAGTTCGTGTACCAACTGAGCTGCCGGATTGCAAGGTGACCAGGAAACTAGGGAGTATTTTGGTATAAGTGAATCGTCAGAAGATGAAGTTGATTTGGTGCAAACTATACCGATAACAATACACGTTCGCTTACCGGAGAATCAAACCAGACCCGTGATGGAGCACAATAAGGCATACTTCTCAGCCGAATTACCACCACTCTCGTTGAATTCCTGTGTTTGCTTTTTGGAGGATTTTCCTTCGCGTTGGTTATCGTGGAGTTGATTTTATGAAGCGTTGCAATCGTTTTCGGCACAAACCAACCAGCGCTTTATCGTTCGGTCAACGTCGAGCTCAACTACTGCAAGTTTACCTCGTGTTTTCAAGAAGACAGCGACAGCTGTGGACTGTGGTGCTTGATCGTACTGGAGCTGACATTTGCTCGTACTCCGTGGCACAAGGGCCTTTACAAGCTGGTGCCGTATCTTCGACTTCGAGACTTGGGTATGTGCACGAACTACATCGACCAAAAACGCGATGGAAGATAAATCTCGAAATTTAGACATGCACTGCTAGCGGTGCGTGCTGCATAGCATGGATAGAACTACATAATATGAGCAAGATAAAAACATGGCTTTGACTCTAATGTTTTTTTTTCGGTAGGAGTAGCAAGAGCGTAGGATGTACAGACAACGAAGGTGAAACTACCCCCCCCCCCACAAACATTCGACCAAGTGCAAATTTGGGCTCAAGTAATCAAACAAAAAAGACTGCTTTAATTTTAAACCAATTAACGCGTTTCACATGAATTATTGGACAGCACGCCATGTGAGCGCCATATTTGCTAATGGCTGTGAAACGATGGATGCACCTCGTCGCCAAAACAATTACACCGGTAAACAGAGGCGGGAAGCGATCGAGCGGATGGCACTGGAGATATGTAGGTCTGCATCTCGGGTGCTAAGTATTCCATTGAGTACACTAAAAGGATGGAGGAAAAAGGCAAATCTGCAGTTTGAGTTCAAGGGTGCCCAGACAAGCAAAA